GACCAAACCTGCCAAAAATTAAATTTTTTGCTCTTTTTGGATTTTGCAGTGATCAGTTTATGTTTTTGGGGATATTTGCTACTCTAGACATTCTTAACGAACAGTAAATTTGTATTTGAAAAAGAACATATCTATGAATTTGACACAAATTGCCCTATATTTCAGCATTAGAGTAAAACATTTTCAGGTCAGTCTAGCTTTAGAAAATAGCCTATCACAAACCGGAAATATCTTCAGTCGTAGTCATTATTATTACGATAAGTCAATCATTTCTTGTTGTATCTTTCGACGACATTTCTTTTTTAGGAGTTATGATGAAAGTTCGTGTTATAATCATAGAATATCATTTAATTATATTCATCATATTGGACAATATATATTGAGTGATCTTGCTGGTATTTATACATGTGGTCTTTTAAATGGAACATTAATTATAAATAATGTTTTACATGATATTTATGGATATTTTTTGTATGATTGGGGTCTTTATTTAGCTGATGGAACTTCACAATTAATGATAACAAATACAATTGTTTATAATACAGGTTCAGCTGCTTTAACTATGATTTATGGTTTTAATAATACATTTCAAAATAATATTCTTGCTCGATCAAGTAATCAAAGTGATGGTGCTCTTTCATTATATCGTCGTGAATCACCTAATCATTTATCATTTACTTTTCGACATAATATTATTTATGATATTGTGAATGAAAGTGGACGTTGGATATTTCAAGTTCAAGCACCAGATCCATTTTCATCACCTTTTGTAATTATGGATTATAATTGTTATTTTAATACGTATGGAAATATGATGATTTTTGGTCTTGGAAGACTTGTTTTTAGTGAATGGCAAGAAACGAATCATGATATGAATAGTTTCATAACAGATCCACTTTTTATTCATGCTGAAAGTCAATGTAATTTTTTTAATATTAGTATTGGTAGTCCAGCTGTCAAAAACCTAGGTTTTATACCAATTAAACAATTATTTCAATGGAAGTCTGGATGTTAAACATATAAATATATTTTGTTGTTGTTGTTGTTGTTAGTTTACAAATGTCAATATTGGATAGATTGTTGCAATTTTTATAAAGTTTATTTTCCTATCGACGATTCTATTTAGAATTGCAAAAGTAACGATTCAGTCTGGTACATAGAATTTTCGATTTCATCAGATTGTGTTGTTGCTGAAACTTTCAATAAATGAAATGAAAAATATTGATCTTACATGAGAATATGTTGAGAGATGGTTGTCGTATATTATCATGGTAAATGAAGTATCAAATAAAACCAATTTTGAATTTATGGACGATTGATTTTAGAAAGGCATATATGTATAAAGAAGGAAGTATTAAATTTCGATATTTCATTTAGAACAAATGTTTAATTAGGGAAAAAAAAACCTAGTAAAGCGATATTTAAATAGAAAAGTTTTTTACTATTTTTAAAATCAATGCTGCAGGTTATTAACTTGAAATCTTCATATATCTAACGTAAATCTTAAGATAAATTATAATTATTGGCTGGATATAAGATGAGTCTTGTGAAAGAGAACTAAATATTTTGGATAGATATTGACTAGCTGATTTGTTCTTTTTTTTTTGTTATTGATAAAGTAATATTCATAATGCACGAATAAGAGTCATCGATTTAGATTTAGATAAGAAGAATTTTAATCAAATTTAAGCGATATTCAAAGAAGTTTTATTATAATTTATAGTGACAATTCAATATTTATTGCGGGTGTAA